TGTTTCTTAAAATTGCAGCCTCGTTATTAAACACGCACCAATTAACCCGGCACTCGGCAGGTATCGATTTTCTTCGTAGCGCCAGGTTGTAAATTAATTGCAGATAATGACTGCATGGGAGTGGGACTATTCTGTAGGCTGTGCAGCATCAATAAATGAATTAGACCTTGGCCTAGTGACGTTTCCAAAGAGAGATACTACGCCTTCAAAAATTTTTTTTTCACACGATCCATTGAAATTGGGTAAAACTAGTTCGTCTCTTAGCGATCCATTGAAATTGGGTAAAATAAGCATTCGTCTCTTAACAACTGGAAGTAAATAAAGGCACTCTGTAGCTGAATGGTTTAGTAATAATCATAGTTTGGTGAAATTTAAGAAACACGTCAGACCTTAGAGACACCTGAGAGAAACCCTATTCAAAGCAGAAACTTACTTTGAGTCTTGCACTGATAATTATTTTGTAGGGAAAGAAATACAGCCAAACGCCAACAATGAAGATATCAGCGTTAATCCTTGCAAACTTTGAGATCCTGATGACTGTTGGGGTATTTCAAACTCTGCTAGCCGTCTGTCCTCCCGGCTGGTTGGCCTGGCAAGACGCCTGTTACATCTTGCTGCCTGACAAGATGGATTGGTGGCAAGCCAAGGAGGCTTGTGATCGGCCCGGGAGCAGCCTGGTCGTTCCTGACTCGAAGGACGAACAGGACTTCATCTGGCGGGAAATGCTGTTGAGGATGGAGAACTTTGGCGCTCAGTCAAAAGATGACTATGAACTGTGGATTGGATGCCAAGATGTTAACGATCGCGACAAAGGGATGCTTCCGTGCATCGGTGTCATTGGGGATCCTGTATTTAAGAACTGGGCGGGTGGACAACCGGATAAAAATGATGAAAATTGTGTCAGAATGGCAAAGAAAAAGGATGGCCATTGGGGCGACACATCATGCAGCGCTTTGCTTTACGTCGCTTGTGAGATGCGCGTCTCTCATCGCTCATACTGCCTGCAAGCTGATGCTGACGGGCGCTTCGCACCCCCGTGTCTGCTCAACCACGAGATCAAGAACCTGACGGCTGCGGGAGTCATTGGGTGTGGTCAGGCGTGCTGGGCGGAGCCTCGATGCCACTCCTTTAATCTCTGGCAGAAGGGTGATGACAAGAAAGTCTGTCAGCTCAACAGCGCGACCAGCATCAAGGCTGACGTCACCGATCTCAAATATGTGAAGAACTGCAACTTCTTCGACCTGTAAACTTTCGAGATTGAAACTTTATTCAAAGACATTTTAAGCACTCCTTCAAACTCTGGAAGAAGTTGGTGACAAGAAAGTCTGTCAGCTCAATGGCGTAGTCTCAACCTGCTCGGTGGATCGGAGGGTTGGTCGTGCACAGACTGCCCGTTCATCAAACTTGTAATGGGAGAAAAAAATGTGTAGCCTAGTGTCATGTTAGCAATTCGCTCAAACATACTCATCGCACTGAATTTGGAACATCATCGCTCAAACACTTTGGAAGTGTCCGTATACTGTCTTGTATTGATCGTGAATAACTAATGGACCTGAACTAAAGACGGATCGTTTTAGAAAAGATCAGTTTGTATGAACTGTGAATATTTAGACAAGAATAGACTGTTTAAGCGTACTCTATATTGGCACAAAATATATAATATTATATACCATTGTCTACCTTTATGCAAGAATGTTAGAACACGTGTCTTATACTCTAAAAACTGAAGGTTGAATCCAACAGTCTTGCGTGAGTTCGGTGAGTGACCACACTTAAAGCGTTGAATTCAGCATTTTTAAATGTTAATTTCAACATATTAAATGTTGATTCACCACTTTCAAAGTTAACACTTTAACAACTGTCGAATTAACACTTAAATTGGATTTAACATTTTAAAATGCTGGATTTTACATTTAAAACGCTGGATGCAGCATTTTCAAAATGTCACTCACCGATATCATGCAATACCGTCTTGTGAAAGTAGATCCTAGGAAGACCGATCTTACAACGTGGTTGTTTGCGAAAATAACTGCCTGTCATTGCGCGGTTCTGGAACATTTTTATTTGGGGCGGGGAGGGGGCGTGGTTTAAACAACGCAAAAATGAAGATATTTCGTTAGTTTGATTTATGATGGAAGGGAGAATGAATGATCAATGATGACAAAATGTGGGAAAAGATTTACAAAAATGAAACACAAAAAAAAAGAACATATTCAAACCTAAAAATACAGTTTGGGCAGCCTTAAATCGCATATTTTTTTTCTATGATTTCTAAGGGTATAGTTTTATGAAAAAAAAATACTTTTTCATAAAACCATATTATAGTTAATGAATTATTCATTATAAATGTGAGCACCAAATAAAAAATAATTGCACTTAATTCTCAAAGAGAAACTCAATGATAATCCTTGAGTATACGTCTATCGAAGACTTTTGTCGTATTTTATAATTTCTTTTTTTTCGGGGGAGGGGGAGGGAGGCGATTCATTCATGACTATATTGAATTAAAATTTGAAAAATGGTCAACTGGGAAAAAAGAAACTGGTGAATTTCTGTTTACAGCATGCACATTTTCATTGTGCATACATGCGATAAAAGTAAATAATCACAGTCGTATCGCGCGGTGCGTGAGGGCGTCTTGTCAGAGAAACCCCAAGAGGGCGCTACGCATTACGGTAAAAAAATTGCATCATGCCATCTCTATTCTTTAAATACATTTTTTTTGCGATGAAAGTTCGAGCTGAGCCACTGCACGGTGGGTTTATTGTACGTGAGCCTGAAGCACATACTCAATAATATCCTCGGCGCGTGCGCCGGGGGGATTTCTTGCCGTGTTAACTCGACACTCAACTCACCCTTTTGCTCGACTGTTTTGTATCCACAATTCTTTTCTATTACAATTTAAAAGAACAATTGTCTCAATTGGTTAAAACTCTGCTTTTCTTTCCCATGTTTACAGACCCTTTTTAATATAAACGAGGAAAAGTGATACTTTATAATAGTAGATATATTTCGTATATTGATTTTATTTTCTATTACCAAAGATATATATTAAATTGTGAATTTTCCTTCCCCCCTGAAGTACATTTATATATCCTACTTTCACATGCTGTTTGCAATGCACACTTTGAAAAACTATTTTATTTTTGCATAAGTTCCAGTTTTTCTTATTTTTGAATGTTTCGCGTTTATAAGTTTTCCCTTGGAAGTTGCAATATTTTTTTAAATCTGATTTCGATTGCTACATAATTACTTATCTGAGAATATTAACAAAACCTTTACAGCAGTACCCATTCACTTTTTTGTTGTTTTCAATTTTTTTGTTACACTACATAAATACATGTAATAGCAATGTTACTATTTAACAATGATATCGGTTAATTCAATATATATATTTGCTTTATTTATTATTAGGTTATTAGAAATGTTAATTAAACAACAACATAACAACACTTGTAAAAGATTTACAAAAATGAAACACACAAAAAAGGAACATATTCAAACCTAAAAATACAGTTTGGGCAGTCTTAAATCGCATATTTTTTTTCTATGATTTCTAAGGGTAGTTTTATGAAAAAAAAACTTACTTTTTCATAAAACCGTATTATAGTTAATGAATTATTCATTATAAATGTGAGCACCAAATAAAAAATAATTGCACTTAATTCTCAAAGAGAAACTCAATGATAATCCTTGAGTATAATGTCTATGGAAGACTTTTGTCGTATTTTATAATTTCTTTTTTTTCCGGGGGAGGGGGGAGGGAGGCGATTCATTCATTACTATATTGAATAAAAATTTGAAAAATGGTCAATTGGGAAAAAAGAAACTGGTGAATTTCTGTTTACAGCATGCAAATTTTTCATTGTGTATACATGTGATAAAAGTAAATAATCACAGTCGTATCGCGCGGTGCGTGAGGGCGTCTTGTCAGAGAAACCCCAAGAGGGCGCTACGCATTACGGTAAAAAAAAAATTGCATCATGCCTTCTCTATTCTTTAAATACATTTTTTTTGCGATGAAAGTTCGAGCTGAGCCACTGCACGGTGGGTTTATTGTACGTGAGCCTGAAGCACATACTCAATAATATCCTCGGCGCGTGCGCCGGGGGGATTTCTTGCCGTGTTAACTCGACACTCAACTCACTCTCTTGCTCGACTGTTTTGTATCCACAATTCTTTTCTATTACAATTTAAAAGAACATTTGTCTCCATTGGTTAAAAATCTGCTTTTCTTTCCCATGTTTACAGACCCTTTTTAATATAAACGAGGAAAAGTGGTGCTAAATTATAGTATATATTTCTTATTTCAGTTGATTATTTTCTATTATCAAAGCTATATGAAATTGTGACTCACAATTTGTGAGTTTTCCTTTTTCCCCTGAAGTACATAAATACGTCCGACTTTCACAGGCTATTTGTATTGCACACTTTGAAAACGTACTTTATTTATGCATAAGTTCCAGTATTTGTAATTTTTGTATGGTTCGCATTGATATCTTTTCTCCTTGAAGTTTCCATATTTTTTTTAGTCTGATTTCGATTGCTACATAATTACCAATCTGAGAATATGTTAAAAACAAAACCTAAGTTCATGGCATATACCATGCACTTTTTTGTTGTTTTCAATTTTTGTGTTACATTACATAAATACATGTAATAGCAATTTGCTATTTAACAATGATATCGGTTAATTAAATATGAATATTTATTATTAGGCTATTAGAAATGTTAATTAAACAACAACATAACAACACTTGTATTATGCATCTTGTTTACTTTTTGTTCGACCATGGATTATTTTAATTTCGGATTTTTGGAATTTAATGTTATTGTGTGCGACCAATTAATTGACACAATTATTCATTGGGAGAGAGGACAAAACAAGGCAATTGACGTCATAATCAAAATCTTCAGAAATCAGCGACATGATTCAGAGAAATTTAATTATTATGTATTGACCCATAATGCCCAACAGAGGGCGGTATTTTTGACGCTCATATGTAAATGAGCTGCAGCCATAGTTTTCGCTGAGGAAAGTTTGGTCATCACTAGGGACATAAACAGCGTGACAATCCCCCGTTTTCAGGCAGTAATCGTCACAGTTTTAGCATTTTTAAAGGTTAGTTTTAGTCACTAAATCATTTTGTACTTGGATTTTACTTCTTTGTGGTGTATATGCTTAGGGTTTGTGTAAAATATTTGTGTTATTCGTCACACAACGAACGGGCCAGATTGTGAATGTGATTGTCAGTGATTGTGTGAGGATGAACCGTGTAAACACGAATAAACACATGCATGTATCGCGCACCGCGAAGTGTCTTAATCTTCCATAATTCTTCCATAATTTTCTATCAAATATTATTTCCATAAAAAATTATCTTATGCGACACAAGAAGGACTGTCTGTGTTCCTAATTCACATATTTGTATTTTGTTGCATTTCTTTGTACCAACTGTCCAACAGAATGAGAATGCAAATGTGTGTGTTTTTTAGCTTGTCGGTCGTTTCGTACCCAAGTCGTTTCGTACCCAGGTCGTTTCGTACCCAGGTCGTTTCGTACCCAGGTCGTTTCGTACCCAGGTCGTTTCGCATCAAAAAATGCTTGTATTTATTGTTTTCTTAGTTACATTCGCTATTTTTTCAAAAGAAACCTCCGTTATTTTTACACATTCACTGCGCGATTCAACTACTTCGCAATTCGATGTATTATCACATGCGTAATAAGCGCAATGCGGTGACGACTGGTTCCCGCCGCACCGCGCAGGGGCCAATGATGAAAATGCGGTAACTAGTCCTTTGTGCATCATAATTGACTGGGTACGAAACGACTTGGGTATGAAATGACTTGGGTACGAAACGACTTGGGTACGAAACGACTTGGGTACGAAACGACCTGCTTTGGTTTTTTACACCATTAAATCCCACTGCCGGTATGTGCCCGAGGCCCTGACTAGGCCTGAGGCTGAGGCTTATTTTTTTAAAATATATTTTCTACTTTTGTTTTGGATGTGGTTTTGTAGAAAAAACTGAAAGAAACACTTAAATGCAAGTTAGGATTTTGTCAAAATGTATACGTTTAATGCAGAGTAAAAGTGTGATTATTTTGCATACAAGTTACAACAAGATTCAAGAAGTGCAGAAATATTGATAGAAATGCTCAAAACTCATATTTTCTCAAAATCTTTGTCTTTGTTCATGCTTATTTCAATAAATAGGCCCTATATGTCAGACGGCAATCATGATGTAAAAAATATTATGATATTTGAATTTAAATAGAACAGTATGAATATGTGCCAAAAAAAAAAATATCAAAATTTTAATCACAAATTCCTATTAAAAAGAAAGGGTCACCAAATGAAGCATTTTCTTATGCGGTTACCACTTGCACAGTTTGCCAACATGTGGGGGGGGGGGGGGGGGGGGGGGGTAGAGGCCTACACATTGTAAAAAAAAACAACTACAAGTTGTAAAAATAATCAAATAAACAAGTAATTAACCTACATATAAGTAGGTAGGGCCTGTACTGTAGTCTTCCCTTTTGAGTTTTGAACTGACCGACATTGTGCAACTCATGTAAAAATTACTTAAGAAAATGGATCTTGTAAGTTATTGTGGTGCCGGCTTTCTTTCAGTAAACAATATTAAGCCGGCTAGATTGCACAGTGCCCTCTTTGACGCATATAGTAGGCCTACCTACAGTATAAAACGTATTAAATTACCACCATCTTTGTGCAGCACATGTGGTCGCGTGGATAGCGCTTCTGTCTCATGAATAACAGATCCCTGGTTCAGATCAAGCCCGGCTCTCAAAATTTTCAATTTTTTCTTTCATTCCAGAAAATATAAAATATCCTTCTTTTATTATTTTAAATTGACTGCATTTATTTGCAGAGTACTACTGTTTTCCTGATTCATGGCTCTGGAGGATTTTTCTTTAATTTCAAAATAAAGTCTGAAATTGTAAACTGGTCTGATTTCTCATCTCGTTAATATGAAGTCACAATGACAATTCAGACTAAAATTTGTCATGTGCAGTAAAACATTCTAAGTCCACCAAAAAATCACTGCGCATGTTCAGTGCCGCACCGGCTTAATAATATTGAAAGCTCGCACCGGCCAAGGTCTTGACCAAATTCAACAAAATGAGCCGTTCAAATTTCGGAGGAAATCTCTGGTACAAAATGTAAATTTATGCCTCATTCCTCCCCAAAAGTCTTGAAAACACATGTAACAAATCCATCCATTTCTGAAAATTAAAGCAAAAGCAAATGTTGTATATATTCCATTTAAAACCCGATTGACGTACAATGTGTAGACATGCATTACATTAACATGTGAAAAGAGAGTAATTACTCTGTTGAGAGTTTCCATTGTAATCAAGATAATGTCATGAGTTTATCTGGCCACAACACCTGCCGCCAGATTATGTACATATAAAGTATGTATTTGCAACGTTATACTCACAGATGAGACTATCGATACAAGTATAATTATGTATTGTACGCTGACTACGCTCATTCTCTGAGCGTTTCAGGTTTTTATGTTCGTTTTTTTTATAATTCACTCTAAGTTACTTGTTCATGTTTGTCATGTTTGCTTTAAAATATTGACAGTGAACTCTGCAGCAATTTTCCTTGAATTGCCCTGAATATTAGTACATGTAAGTTTAGTTACAATAAGTACGGGTACATCAGTGTGTCTTGTCTTGTCTCATCTTGTCTGGTACTGCAGGAATCGCCACGGGTGGCTATAAACATGGATGGTTATTTATTTGTGACCAATTTTGAAAAGCTGTTGAAATATTTTTGCCGGACTATGTCCCTATGACTGACTGACTGATACGTTGACTGAGTAATGACACCTCCAGTTTTAGCTGGACTAGGAAAACCTTGTCATTTTTCTCTGTTGTTCACTACATCTATGATATAAAGTTTAAAAAAATGAGTACTGTTTAAAGTTCTTTAAATAATTAGGAAGATTTCATAATTTGCTTTCTTTATTCCACAGAGTGTGTTAAACAAAACACACAAGATCAATAACAACATCATATGCGTCAAGTCATCACACCGCGCCTGACCATGTGACCTGTAGTGACCCCCAGAGTGACCTTTGACCTTTCAACCCTGAGTCTCCCATCTCTGAACTCAACGCCCGACCGTCAGTCATTTCAAGATGAACCGTGGGCATTTGATATTTAGACGCCGGTGACCCATAAACTAAACTGACGACAAGTGGAGGATTCCAGATCTTTGAAGCAAGAGAGACTTTTTTGGCCAGAGACGTTGCATGGCTGTGGTCACCATGAATCGCTATCAGATGCTCAAGCAGGTCGGTGATGGGACGTACGGAAGTGTCATTCTTGGAAAGACTGACAACGGCGAAATGGTGGCCATTAAAAAGTGAGTAATTTGTAGGCGCGATTGACCGAAGCAAGATTTTGCAGTGCTGTTAAATGGAATATACATCATTTGCTTTTGCTGTAATTTTCAGAAATGGATGGAATTGGGGGGGTTGGAAATATATAGCAAATATAGTTACACTGACCTTTTTGAGGTCTTGGGTTCGAAAGGGCTACAAAAACCAAGAAAAACAATCATTTTTCTGTAGTCTGGTTCCCTGACTCCATTTAAGAAGAAACAGCAGTTTACATACATTGGGGAATTGTAAGGTCAGGGAACCAGTCTAGCTGGCTTGTACCCGTTCATAGGTGTGTAATCGATTGCAAACAAGTGCGATGGTCAACTGGGGCCAGTATTTGAAAAAAAGCCAGTTTTTTCCAACGCTGGTCGGCCGATCAGCGTTGGAAATTGATACAAAAATACCACTTTTCTTGAAAATGACAGTATACCGGGTGCCATGATTTTACAGGATGCTTTACACTGTCATTCACTAACAGTCCAGCAAGGTATTTCAAAATGATTTGGTAGTTTTATTTTTTGATGTTTGCAAATGTTGTATTTTCCCTTTTAGCAACAAAGTCTGTCACGGGCCAATATGGCCCATCAGGATGGTGTTGGTCGCTGGTTTCAGTGGCATGAAATGACTGAGAATATTTCTATTCCCCCTGGATGGAAAGCCAGCTGATGCCGGTACCAATTTATACTCCTGAGTAGACCGAGGCACGTGTGGGTGAAGTGGCTTGCCCAAGGACACAACATATGACCAGCAGGTGGATTGGAACCCATGACCCTCTGATCGTGGGTCACAAATCCTACAGTGTAACTATGAGGCCACACTGTCGCATACTGTACAAATGCTCAAAATCTGTGACTTGCTCCATATGTATTTTTGAAATCATTGGTCTTATTTTTATCACTGTGCACTTTAAAAAATAGTTAAATTTTACCGAAAGTGTATTTTGGAAAAATTATAATTATAATTATAATTTTTTTCATTGTAGAATGAAGAAAAAGTACTATTCCTGGGATGAGTGCATGGACCTCAGAGAAGTTAAGGTAAGATGAGATGACTTGCTTCAAATTAAAAAAACAAAAAAACTAGAAATAGTGATGAGAAATTTGAATACAATATGCCACGTTTTCAGACAATCTGTAATTGAATCTCCTAACTCTTTCAAGATACATTCCCTGTGCTGTTGCAGGTGTCACCCGAAAAAAAAAAAGTAGATTTATTTTTTCAATTGCTATTTTCCTAGCAATGTAAAAATTATTCACTTTTGAATGAGGCCTCGAACGAAAAACATCATTGACAGTTAGTAATTGAATTATTTCTTTACAAAATTCAAATTATTTTGCAGCCCAACAAAATTAAAGAGGATTGCAGATGGCCAAATTGGGGGGAAAACCCCATTTTTGGGGGTTAAGAGTAACTTAAGACGAAACAAACAATTTGAAAATTTGTTGGGAGCAAAATAATGTATTTTTTTTTATGAGCACAGTGCACGCATCTTTAATTTGTAAGTAAGATGCAAGATGCACAGTGAGCTATCAAAATTCAGAAATATAGTCCTTTTTTTTTTTTAAATCTGAAAAAAATGAATGGTTGAAAATGAAGATTCAGAAAGACGTCTTGTAGAGTTCTGTACATGAGCTGCCTTACAATTGTGACATTTACATGCATGTGTACAGTGGGTTTTATTTTTCATCTCTGATGTTCCTCGACAGTCGTTGAAGAAGCTGAATCACGCCAACATCGTCAAGTTGAAGGAGGTCGTGAGAGAGGACAATCAATTGTTCTTTATCTTTGAGTACATGAAGGAAAACCTCTACCAACTCATGAAAGACAGGTAAGAGAAAAGCAGAAAATACAAAAGATGCAATGAGTTCCCTGAAAGCTTGGTTTTGTATTGTTTGTGGTTGTTTTTAGTTCTTTTACATTGTTTTTATAGGCTTTTTGACAGGCATCTATTAAAGCTGGAGTTTTGATATCTAGTTTTTATTTATTGAAACAAAATGACAGAAAAAAAGTAAGAGAAATTGAACAAATAATTGTTTTGCAAGAGAAAACATCCGGGCATTTTTGATATCTAGTCATTAAAAATTGAAATGAAAAGATGTATGCAAGATAAGAGAAGATAAAAATTGTATTATAGTCAAATGAAATTTCAAAATATGAACCCGAGTATTCCAGTTAGGAACACACACAAAGAAAATGTTTAAACAGTTGTAAAAATGAAGAAAAGGAATAGTTATGAAGAAAAAATTAATTTAAAAAATCTAAGCAAATTTAAAGGTGTTTTGGAATTTTAAAGCCAGAAACTGCTAAATATCACTAACATAATTGAGCTCTGTCTTTCAAAACAAAATACAAACTCACTTTTGAATATGTAATATTCTGTACATTGACCAAAGAACGACATTGTTCATAAGAGAAGAATCCAATAAAATGAGGAAAGAGCAAATATTCCAAATCGATCCCAGCAGCGTTTGAAGGATTTGTACATGATATGAACTGAACACTGTAATGGCGGTGACATTTGATCACCTTGTTTGAAAGCTTTCTTTGCCTACATGGTTGCCATGGCAGTTAACAATTTTCCTTGGAATGTAACCTCGCGCAGACAGAACATGGCCTCTGCTAATTTACATGGCAAGGTTAATCTACCTGCCTCATCATCGATTGTAGTATAGTGTGTTCTAAGCAAAAGAAAATTTGACACATTTCTTTGTTCATCACAGCGAGTTGAGAATGTGTGTAGCTACAAAACACAGACTTGAATAAAAAAAAACAAGCTAAGGCCAAAAAAAAAAATACTCGGTTTCTGGTCAGCGCGCGCGTCGATTTTAATCATGCGCGGCAACCTTTTTTTTCCCTTCAAATTAACACGGAAGCAACAACAGCGCCCTCTATTGCCACACCTCAAATTTTTGTACCAAGGAGCACCAAGGAATGGGGAAATTGCACCAAGGCAAATGATAAAGGGCACCAAGGCAAATTATGGAGGACACCAATGTATAATGAGGACACAAACAAGCAAAATAGTACCCACCTTGTCTGTACAATTGAAGCTTGAAAAAAAAAAAAAAGCCACCCAAAAAACGCGTCGCCGCATCAATTCCGGAACTTCAGTCTGACCAGAGACCGATTATAATTTTTTTTTTTGGCCTAACAGGAAAATGGAGACTTAAAACTCAAAAACATCTTGCATTCTGACGGCACTGAAAGCATAAATTCCCAGTGCATCGCACGCTTGGATTTTAATTGAATATCTTTGGCACTTTTTGTTTGCTTTGTTAATAAAACTAGCGAGTCGCGTTTCAAAGGAGATTCAATTCGCAGACAATTTTTTTCTTTCTAATGCAGTGTTAATTCATTTAGGCCTTTTCATGATGGTTGCTGGACGTAAAACGTAACTGCACATCGCGTAAATATGCGAATAGAATGTGTACATGCCTTTTGATATATGCAAAATAACTGGGGTGCTGTCTTTTCATGTGCTTTCGCAGATTTGAACTGACAAATTATGCCATATATTTTTTCTTAAATTCATATTTTATGTGAAAATTTTTACAAAAAAAGATGTAGTTCAGTTGTTTGTCAATTTATATCTCTACATTTAGGCCCATTTCAGTTTTATTTTGATGCAACAGCAAAGGAATTTCCCTGCAGTAGAAATAAATTAAATATTAATTTCAAAAATTTGTACATATTGAAAATCCATACTCGTTGAGTTTCCTAAGTTTAAATGGCACTAGGGCTGTGCATCAAAGCCAGATGACCGTTGATGTCATGAACTGGTTCCAGATTATAGGATCGAGTACCGTTGTCACATGAAAATCCGACTCCTATGAAAATCGGACCCCTTTTCCCTATTATTGGTTAATCCCTCTCACGTGACCGGTCACTTTCCTAATTACCATACTTACGCATGCGCGTTATTACCAATGAGTCTGAATTTCATAGAAACGTAAATTCACGCTACACCGTAACCAACTTAACAAATTACCCGGTACTCAGCAACTTAATTCTCAGACAATAAAAAAATAAAGGTTTTGAATTTCATTTGTGGGGATTATTCAAAATGAAAACCAGGCTACGCAGAGAACAAAACATACTTCACATTTATGACGCTCGCAAAGGTGGTACTTTACATCGTAAAGCTATAAAACTCACTGTACGCACACTTGCTGTATTGATGCATTTTGAAAACTCTCATGCGAACCTTTATGAACGATCTGAACAGCGACTTTTGAAATTTGAATTTTGGGGCTGGGTTTCCGTAAGGGGTGCCCCGGTACCCGTGTTTTTTTTTGATCGGGTACCCGATTCCTGCAGTATACCAGTAAATGCACATCCGTTGGTGCTGACGTTATTATCTACAAAATTATAAGAGTGGCATGCAGGGCGTTCTGGTTTCATGTCATCGTTTTGTGACTTGTTTGAATGGTTCTCTAATTAGTCTGCCGGTACAATGCCAGTCGCGATGACAACTGAAATGCAATTAGTCGCGCATCGCTGATCAAACCAAATGGTTTGTGAATAATTGGCTTGATTATAGAACTGCAGCTGAGCACTACCGCCCCAGAATATGGACTATGGTCGCTTGTAATATAACTTTATAGTCGAGAAGTGAGAAGAAAAAAAAGGTTAAAATTATGCTCATGTTAAAAAAAGAAAGAAGCAAAACATGTGTCCATTCTTTTTCTCAATTACACAGAATTACATCAATGTGGCATCTAAAACACTGTAGATGGTTTTGTTAAAGGGAATGCACATCATTGGCTTTTGCTGTAATTTACAGAAATGAACTATTTGGGGAGGTTAGTATAATAGATCAACTATTGTTCCACTGACAAGTTTGAAGTTTTTTGTTCGAAAATGCTGGAAAAACCAGGAAAAACAAAAATGTTCAAGTAGTCTGGTTCCCTGACTCCACTTAAGATAAAATGCATCAATTTATAGATGCCGGAAAATTGTAAGGTAAGGAAACCAATCTAGCTGGTCTGCACCCGTTCATGAACATGGAACCAATAGCAAACAAAATTTGGACTGAAAAAAGGGTAAATTTGGAGCAGTAGTTGAAAAATAGTTAGGTTTTTCCAACGGTGGTCGGCCGACCACCGTTGGAAATTTATACAAAATACCACTTTTCTCGGAAATGACTTCACACCAGGTGCCATAATTTTACAGGATGCTTCAGACTTTCATATACCAACATCCTAGTAAGCTATTTCGTAAAAATTTGGTAGTTTTGTTTTCCAATGTTTGCAAATGTTGTATATTCCCTTTAAAGACACATAATATAAACTGCATGTATAATAAAAACAAAAATTACAAAGATACATGTGTTCCTTTCCTTAAAAAAACAACAACGGCTGATGCAAAGAAGCCAATAACCACATTGAATAGACCATTCTAATGATACGGTTTATAATTGAGAAAAGCCACGGCCAGAAGAGTCGACATGAAACAAAACATAATTGCAATAATGTGATACCCGTCCCCTTGCCACCTGGGGACAACCCATTGAATTGTCACACCCGCTGGTTTCAGCCGCTACGCACCATTGTTCATTATTGAGAACACGCTCTGCGATTCAAGTACCCCAGTTGCTAAGCGTCATATCACCCCCCTACGTCCGTTGACGACGGAAAATATAAAAAAAAAATGACAGTGATATAGATCAAGTGTCTGCGACAACAGTCAACGTAGTGTAATGCTGACCACCAGTTAGTCGGCATGGCAACTGAGCCTTGTAAACAATCCGTCGGGCAAGGTCCCATTTTTTTTCAAGTAGAGAATGTGAAATGGAGTGGTTTGGTGAAGGGAGCGGGCGTATTGACTTTAAGCAAAAAAATCGGTATATACTCGCCAAGATGACAAAGGATATGTGTAGGCCCTTCTCCACCATCATACATTGACATGGCACTTTGAATTTGTGGTGGTGTATTAAATATTAGTGTCAGGGAAAAACTGGTAAATTACTGCTGGCCCAGGCTTTCATATTTCTTTAACATTTGAGCATTACCCAAGGATAAAAATTTTCCTGACATAAATCATTCAAATGTAGTACCATGTTTTCTTTGATTACAAAATCATCGCAAAGACTAGTAATATTAAAATTCTTGTGGGTATTCTCCTTGCAGATGCCTGAACAGTAGAATATACGAACACTGAAATCCATGAAAATCTTACGAGGTTAAACGTTTGTTTAACAAAATGGGTCCTCACGTTCGCGAAATATTGGATTTGTCCATTAATAATATTTCTGTTATTGTCCATATCATTTTTGATGAATTGAAGAAAACAGACAGTGTGACTTTGTATTTAACGGAAAGCCAAGTTTGTTATCTCATACATGTTTGTATCTTTGATAAGGATTAAAATACATTTTTTTCAGCAATAAATTATATTGTCCTGACAAATTAATCACAGGACTTGTAAAAAAAAAGTTGGGCTTTAGGCAGGGGAGTGTCGGGGAGGGTTTTGTGGAGTCGGGCTTGGGTAGGAGTATTTTTTTATAAAATATTTTATTTTACATGTGATTTGATTATTTTTTTCTCTGCAGGGACAGACTTTTCCCAGAATCAGTCATTCGTAACATCATGTTTCAGATACTACAAGGCATGGCCTTTATACATAAACACGGTAAGAAAATGATAATGTGAATGATTTAAAATGTTTCTGAAGCCATATTATACATGTGACAGAGGCATAGGCCCTATACAGTCGACTCTAGTTAATATGAACTCGGCCGGTCCTAGCCAAAATGTTTGTTATATCAGAATTTTGTATTAAGAGGAGCACCGGTCCAATCATTGTGCACATAAATGTACAGTCGGGACCGAGGTATTTTGTTCACTTTAACCATAATTTGTATTAACAGTGTTTGAATTTAAGAGTCGACTGTGTATCAGGAGATTTAAAAGCTAGGACACTAGTCTGAAAAAAGTGTCTTAAAAGAATGATTTCAACAAACTTATTTTTTTGTTACACAGGATTTTTCCATCGCGATATGAAGCCTGAGAACCTACTGTGCCAGGGGCCGGAGCTGGTCAAGATTGCAGATTTTGGCCTTGCCAGGGAGACCAGATCTAGACCGCCGTACACAGACTATGTCTCCACAAGATGGTAAGTTTATGTTTCTGCACAGTGGTGGAATTTGCAGGATCCAGGAAGATTTCTAACCAAAAGTTGTCAATAGCATGTCATTATCCCTTAACCTTTCAGATCCTTCGGAATACTCCACAAGCCTTTTTACACTAGACAAACCTCGGTGATGATGGGGGTTGACGCAGGGTTGAAAACATGTGGCGTTTCACACTTGAAAATGTTCAACCTTGCGCCAACCCCGCGTCAACACGGAGATTGATTTTGCCCCTGGTTGAATTCAACCCTGCTCCAGACCAGGATTTGAGATTTTTTAACCCGGGTTGAAAGTCTCGCCAGATTTCAAAACGGCAGTAACCGAGTGAAATAAACTTGGTTTGCAAGAAACAAGTGTGAAACGATGCAGGGTTGAACGCGGGGTTGAAAAATCAATAACTCAACCCAGGGCGGTACTGGGTTTGCCCAGGATTGAGTTCAACTCGGGTTGAGAGGCTCTAGTGTGAAAAGGCATCCGAGGTTTGGAAGATTTTGAAGGATTTGGAAAGTTAGAACCTAACCACTGTTGCTCTGCATTGGGCTTGATGCTGCAGAAGGGAGGTTTTTAAAGGATCCAGGACGTTTCCTAGTCTGTGTAATAGACCCTGGCCCTGGCTAAGCCGACCATGGTCTATGATATGCGAATAGATTCGGCGATTAATTATGCAACTAGACTGCGTATGACCTCGAGAAACTGACCAATCAGCAGGTGCTTTCTTTATTCGCGTGATGCGAGCTCCCCGCGTGCAATATATCACGCCCACGATGAGTAGCATTTTTGTACAGGTTGTTGTATTACAAAAACGTGGCATCAAAATTGACCAATCACAATCGTAGTCCTGATTTCGGACTGTAATGACGTCATGCATGCTTAGATATATCAGACGTTCTACCGGAGATGGGCTGCATGGAGAACGGGTGATACTCAGACTAGACGTTTCCTAGCCAAAAAACAACGTGGCAGTTTTTGGATTGACAGAGATAAACCAAGCCTCTCCCTTTCTGTCTCTCTGTCTGGCGCAGGTATCGCGCCCCTGAGGTCCTCCTCCGGTCTACCAACTACAGCTCGCCTATCGATGTCTGGGCGATCGGCTGCATCATGGCTGAGCTCTACACGTTGAGGCCCCTCTTCCCTGGAAACAGCGAAGTGGACGAGATCTTCAAAATCTGCTCGGTCCTGGGAACTCCAAAAAAGGTAGGTTGACAATAATGGATTTCGCCCTCCACAGACGTATTTTGATAAACACTGTATACTCAGTGTTGGCCGAGTGATCATGAGAAAAAATTCACAAACTACTCGGGTGGGACACAAACCAAGGACCTGCTTGATAGTGCAAACCCTGACGTAAAGAATTCACATCAGCCTGATGTAAAAGCCATCTTATGAAAATGTAGGTTGTCCTTTTTTCTCCATAGTTGTGACTTTTTTTCTACAAATAGGAAGAGGAAAAGACCTGGTGCATGTATAGTAGCATAGGTTTCATATTTTACATGGATGGCTAGATAGTTCAATTAGTGGAAAACTGCTTCGGTAATCCAGAGGTCACAGGTTCCAATCCTACTCGTGTGAATTTCATTGTTCAATTGATTCCTAATGGCTTTAATGTCAGGCTTTCATGTCTTCCAGTTTTCAACCCCTTTCACAAAGCCACAAACAATGAAACTGAGATGTTACCAAGATGCGGGCAAAAAATTCAGTAGGTAGAACACTGATACTGTGCTTGGTGGTCACAGGTTCGAACCCCGTTTTCACTCACTTTTATCATTGCCTTTTACAGGAGGAATGGCCGGAGGGCTACAAGCTGGCCTCCAACATGAACTTCAAGTTCCCGCAGTGTGTCCCTGTACCGCTGAAGACGCTCATACCCAACGCTAGCAATGATGCCCTCGCGGTGATGAAAGACATGATGGCTTGGAACCCGCAGAAACGACCCACGGTCATGCAGGTATGAGATTGGTTAACCTGCTAGTTCATGTACTGCCCCAAATTGCCCTGCCGGTTACCCCCTGTACTGCCCAAAACTGCCCTGCCTGTTAGTCCCTGTACCGCCCCAAACTGCCCTGCCGGTTACCCCCTGTATCGCCAAACCATCACAATAAGCACCATCGATGTATCAATATTACTCGATTATTCGATATTATTTTGATATCTATATCGCACATCGCAATTTTTCAATCATATCGAAATAATGAAATTTTCAATATGGAGAAATGATATCAAAGATGTGTCAGATTATCGTAAAAAAAATCTACCAGTTTCGCTTTAACTTTGAGTTGCATTTGCTGTATAATGAAATAAAACTCGGCAGTAATTCGTACTTGTGACTCAAAATAAAAACATCGCGAAATGCCAAGTGGTGCCGCTTTGTGCTCTGCGTTCGCTTTTTTTTAATCAACGTGTCATTTTTATGGCCTTTACATGGGATAATCGATATCAAATATTCTCGATATTGGATTTCCAATATATTGATAATTGAAACTTTTGATGTTGACGGTGCTTACGTCGCAACACTTTATGGTTTCATGGCTTTATGGGTTTTGCAGTTTTAATTAATTTAAATGTTTTCAAATTTTGCTTATCCCTCAAGATGCTTCAGATTTGTGGACATTTCTGGTTTTATGCTTGCAGGCTCTGAGATATCCCTACTTCCAAGTTGGCCAGAACCTAGGCCCCAAGATGCCCCCTGTCACATCAAACTATCAAATGACTGGTAACCAAGGTTACAATCAACATCAACAACAACAACAACAAAGAAGGAATCCCTTACTAAACAAAGACAATAAGTTGAACTCTCCAATGGACTTTAAGAAGACAACTACAACAACAACAACGGATGATGGTCTAGATGATTACCTCACGTCATTAGGGAATTCAAAACCAACCAAGATAGCAGCCATCAAGGCTGCGCCCGCCAAAGAAGTCGCCCCAGTCCAGAGACAGCCGGCCCCACCCGCCGGTGGAGGGGGAGGAGCCGGAAACAGAAGTGGGCGGCGACGGTGGGATTTCCAGAAGAAAGCGCCGGATCTGTTTGACAGCATGGACGACTTTGGAGACTTTGAATCCCAGAAGGCGGTTGCTGCTCCCGTCGTGCAGAGGAAAGCCGGCGCCCCGTTGAAGAAGAAGTCCTCGTTTGATTGGGACGATGACGATGATTTGTTTGGGTAAGATCGTTGTCTTCATGCTCATGTTTCTTAACTCCCTTCGGTATTTGTGTTACAAACCTTCCTGAATTCTCTAAAATATTCCACTGTCCACGAAACCGTGGCAGATTCTTTCCAAGAGGCATCCAGCTCCATGTACAGTTATAGTGGCCAACCTACCTTAATTTCTCACTCCTAAAAAAATCCTCTGAAAATCTGTTTTGAAGATTGGGGAGGGTAAAAATTAATTGTTTAATGTTCAACTTATATGTTACTCCTCACATTTGCCTGAAAACATTGGAAACATCCATGAATAGAAAAAAAGTACTTTGAAAGTATCGATGGTCTATTGAACTCATCGTTCTTGTTTCTCTTAAACAGGAGTCCCCCAAGGAACAAGGCGTCATACTCCAAGGTCCAAGCCCCGGGCAGACCCATACTGGAATCAGGCCGATCGTCAGCCTCCTCAGTGAAACAGTTCTACATCAGATCGGCGCGGTACAAACCAGGTAACGTGGTTTACAGTGTGTTAACTGTTTATCCATGAATATGAACTCGAATGTCACAGAGCAAACCTCAGGCCCAACTTCAGTTCTTCTTCTTCTTCTTATTATTATTATTAATCATTTCTGGTAAAAAACCAAGAATTCCTCAAAAGCGCCCTAGGCACTGTAGCTCGCAAGCCTGAAGAAACCTGTGGAGAGAAGACAATGAGAAGAAATGACAGTTTTAGAGGTGGAAGGAAAAGCCCAGAAGAATATTCTGGGGAAAACCCACGGAATCAGGCAGGGACTGAAAACCCAATTCACATATTGGCCCAGGCGGGATTCGAACCCGGGTCACAGCGGTGGAAGGCAAGGAAAGCACCGCTACGCCAACCTGACTCCCCGAGTTCAAAAGGTTTGCAAGCAAAAAATCTTTGCGTAGCAAATTGATCTGCTAAGTAAGTATCATCGGAGTACCAGTCACAAGTAGTACACATTGTATGAAATTTTGGCTGGTAACCAGTAAATACTAAGCAAATATTTTCAGCACTTAGCAATTTCAGTACTTAGCACCTAATTGAATTTTGTCCCAGTTTTCAGATGGCAGAAAAAGTTGCTCAACTTTATATGCTCTGTGCAGGACCCGTAGAGGGCGCTGCTGCCTTATAGAGTAGAATTTTACTCAGTTTATTTTCTGTTCTCCCGTCTCGTTTTGCAGGTCTGAACTTGAAGAGCCCCCGGAAGGAATCCTCACAAGGATTGCCACCAATGGCCAAGCTACCGCCCTCTGGTAGCACGACACGTACAAATAACATCCTAGGTATGGAGGGCCATGTGGCCAAAAACAAACTCAACTCATTTTTACCTACCTTCGGTAGCTTTTCTTGTACAAATTACATCTTAGGTATGGAAAGCCATGTAGGAAAAAGAAAATCCAACTTTTTTTAACTTCCCTTATGGTAGCACTACATATACAAATATTCTAGGTATGGAGTGCCACGAGAAAAAAATACAATCTAAGTTTTTTTTTATCAAATACGTTTCCTTATGCCCACTAATCTCGACTAAACCACTGATACATTTTTGGAATTGCAAAAGGATTGTGTATGAATAAGTGAGTAAATATTTCTTACAATTGCAATTTATTTAATTAATTAATTTATTTACAATTGCAATTGATCTGATTTGTTCAGGAGCTCGTTACACTAAGACAGAAGGAGCTTACGGGGCTAGCTACTTGCCTTCATTTGGACAGAAGCAATCATCTGGACTCTCAGGTCAGAAGAAAAATCTCTCTTTTTTTATTTAAGCTCTGGCAGGAGCTTCTTCATGCCACTTGGTGGTCGGTTGGTCTGTCTGTCTATCTGTCGGTCGGTCCTCGACAATTAACCAAAAATGTTTGACCAAAAATAGACCAAATGCCATGCCATGCCATGCCGAAAGTTTTTGGAAGACCGGCTTTGTTTTGATCGCTGTGCATGCGCGTCTATTTTGCATATGAAGTGAGACATTCCCAAACCGGGCCAGAGCTGATTGTGCACTCGCGCTTGTTTTTGTGGGAGTCGTTTTCATTTTTTAGCCCAACTTTCCAAAGCTGTCACAGGAAAGATGTAACAAAAAATGTGCCCTGTGTAATGAAACTTTTGCAAGACAGTGTCATGTCCTTTAGACTTGCTACACTTAACAATTCTTGACTGCTGTGATGTGGGATATGACGTTTTTATTACACCCGAGGGGCGCATAGCACCCAAGTGGCGCCCAGTGTGCTACGCACCCCGAGGGGGTTAAAAACGTCATATCCCACATCACAGCAGTCGACAATTGTTTTTTTATATCGTGCCAGTAACTCAAAAAGATGAATGGTTATATTTTACTGTGTGAGAAATAAATCAAACCACTGAGATGTAACCTTTGATAACCGAAGCCTTTGGTGTCCCGTCGGACGTGAGACTGAGCGCGTTTGACGTTGCAGTTCTCATTGCGCAAAGCTAGCTCGCCGGCATGTTTCACGCAATGAACGCATTGCGATATCACCCTCAGTGTGTGACCTGCATTTTTATTGTCCAGACACGTGGCCGTTGTATACCAAAGAAATTCGAACGTGGTTATAACTGTTTTCTGTTGGTTTCCTGCAGATCTGAATTCCTGGAGCAAGCCCAGAGCTCCCACGATCCCAGGAAGCAACTTCAACGGCTCGGCTGGCGTCCGGCAGCAACCGCTGCCCGTCAGAACCAACTGGGCAGCAAAGTAAGTGTCAGGGGTGTGAAATCTCAGCTTTAAAGCTGATTTCAGCTTTTTTTTTGGTTTTGGATTTCAGCTTTTTTCAGCTTTTTCCCTCACTTGCTGTGTACAAAAGTATAGGAGATCTCCAAAATTCAGCCTTTTTACACCTTTTTCAGCTGTTTTCAGCTATTTTTATCAGTGGTCACTCACACCCCTGAAGTGTGCACAGTGATTTCTTGACCGTTCCTGATAGCGCTGTGGAAGGGAGTTGTGGGCATGGGTGCCCCACTTTGCACACCTTTCCCACAATAAACTATATTTTGATTTATGCTCAAACCTGTTTCGTCTTCGCATGAAGTCCGTCACAAGCCAATGTGGCCCCTCAGGCTGGCGTTTATCTCCAGTTCAGTAGTAGAATATTTCTACTCCCCCTGGATGGATGCCAGTCCATCGCAGGTTACTCCCCAGCTAATGCCAGCACCCGTTTGTACTCCTGGGTGGAGAGAGGCAAGTTGGGTTGAAGTGGCTTGCCCAAGGCCCCAACATATGTCCAACAGCTGGATTCGAACCCCTGACCTCTGATCATGAGTCAAGAACCCCTAACCACTACGCCACACTCCCCAACCAGGCATACAACTAAAACGTGTACTGAAAGTGCAAAGCCAACAAATAATGTTCTGATATTAATTACTTCTTTGTCTTTCTTTGTCTTTTGTATTCTAGGTATGGCGGAGTTCATTAACCATATTGGTTGACATTCACAAAATGCGGACGACAATCTTATGCATAGGAAACTATTGGTATGAGCAGCTCTCAGTACAATGTATTAATAATAATAATAATTGAAAAGTAGTCTATTTATGTACAGTTAATCCAAGAAATGATTTTTTAATTTGTAGCAGCTTTAATTTCAGTCCAATAATTGGAATAGAAAATGTACTGGTATTGAAGACAGACGACATTCCATTCCAACACACTTTTATGCCCAACAACTTTTTTAAGTGTCAACAATTTTTAAATTTTCTGAAAATATCCTCGTATGATGTCCTCAGAAATATATGAATTTGAGAAAAAAAATGGTTTCAGCTTTCTTTTTCATAATATTTTTGTTCTAGAACTTCACACTAGATTATTTGTGGTGAAAGTCTTGAGTTTTTGCTCAAAATTACTACAGCAGTCATAACGGATTCGGACCAAACACTTGCAAAGAAGTTAAGCAAGAATTTTATATGACAACTTAAATAAGTTAACAGAAAACAGTCTTGTAGAATTTAATTAGGGGAAGATTTACATCATTTACGAAATAATTTAATGACGTTTTATTTCCTCCACCTTAAAGAAAAATGTAAGAAAAATTCTTAAGATTTTGCATCAATTTTACCCCCCCCCAAAAAAAACTCCCTGCATATGCTTTATTTACAAAACCTGTAACAATGTATATATGTGCATAGATTTTTGTAACATCAGATTGTATATACCTCTTTATCCTAAAAAGGGCACAAATGATATCCAAATGATGTCGCAAATCTTCTGTAAATGTAATTTGCTTGATTTGTGCTGATTGACATTAACGTATTTTGTTAGTAATTTATAGCCATAAAATTGCAGTACTTAGCATTTTACAGGTGGAATGTCTTTTTAACTGTATCATATTTCCCTCTGTCAGTATTTTTAGGACCGTTTTAATTTTTTTTGGAACAGTAATCTATCAGTTTTTATTATTTTGCTTGCTGTGAAACTGGAAAAAAGTTTGGGTAAAACTTCCACACGGAAGTTATTGTTGCATTCAGAATTTGGAATGTGTGAGAATACAATCAGGTTCACACAGCAAAAATATTACAACAATAATACGACTGCCATGGAAAATGATGACATTTATTTTGGTTCAATTTTAATCAAATAAATTTGAGCAATATGCTGTTGTGTTAATTACATTTTACATGCTTTCATTTTTGTGCATGTACAATATTTCACCCGATTTCAGTGATTCCTACTTAAATTTTCTTATTTCTTGATTTGTTTCTTGATTTCGCTTGCTGATTTTAGTGCAATAAGAGGAAATGAATGATCTGATCTACTAGTTGTGCTTCGGTTATGTGCCTAGATAATTTTTGGTAAAGAAAAGTCATTGATGAGGTTACCGAATCTGGGCCCACAAGAGACTATTACAAGTCTAATTATAAAGTAGTGAAAAGTGTTGTCGTAATGCTCTGCTGCCAAAAAAAATTTACATTTCAATTATCATGAGGAAATAGTTTCTTTCCAAATTTCAAGTAATTTTTCTGATCTTTTCGGAGACCATTTTTGGGGGCAGAATACACTACAAAAGTATAAAAGTTCCTTCTGTAAGCTTGAATGGCATTTAATCTAGCATCAATTGCATTGTAATCCTGTGATGTGTTCAACTTTAACATTACATCTTAATAACAAATTGAGTGTCATCTAAAAGCGCTAAATATATTGGTACTAAACGCAGACAAAAAAATACTTTTAGGATACAATTGTTTGCATAATCATAGACTCGCTACTAGTCCATTGTTATCAACTATCACTAGTAACCCTTCGGTAATACACATTCATTATGCTCTTGCACGTACTTGAAATCTTGTCCAGTTACTCTTTGCGTTGGCCTGAACCGAAAATATAAATATTTGCAGAGCTGAATTTTCTGCAGATCCGCACGGTAAAGCTGGCCTTGTTGGTTTAATCCTAATATTTATACACTTGTCTGCAAATTGCTTATCTTAAGCACTGACAGGGACACTCTCCAATAATTTTGTTTTATTACTCAGAACAACTGGTATCTTTTAAGCTGGTCTGTGATATGAGAAGATACAGGACAGTTTTAAAAATTGGTTACTGTTTTTGATAGTTTAAATGAGATTTACATTTGAACACTAGTACATTTTTTTTGTTAAACCAGGCCGTCTGCACAGAAATGTTTAATTACTTAAATTTCATTATTATTTAAATTTTGACAATTTTTTTCTGATTTTGTTTGTTTGTTTTAATAATGACAGATTTTATTGCTTCATTTGTCATAGTTTTATTATTTTTTTTTCCTTTTTATCCATTGTAACATGACCAACAAACATGAACAAGTACAACACTTGCCTTTTGGTCATGTATTTTAGACACAAAACTATTTTCAATTATATAAACTGTACAGCCATTTAACTGTAAATTATTTTATTTTAGTTTGAGCTTTTCCCCCTATACTTGTGTGTGACAGTGCAGATAAGGAGAACATTTAGATTGTTCACCGGAAAAAAATAAAAGTACTCATGACATAAATTACATTTCTTTGAGTAGATTGGTGTCATTCTTTTGTGCATATATTAAATATGTCTTCAATTTTGTGCTTATTTTGATTCTCAATATCAAAGTTTCTTACAAAAGTACATATTTGATGATTTTAGACGAGCTTTATTTCAAAAACTTCTTTTTTTTTATAATAAAGGCCAAGAAATTTAGTCGAGTCGTTGAAATCATGACAGTTTCAATCATAGAATGTTTCAATCTATTGAGTGATGATTATTAATTTTTTTATAAGCGCGTGTCCACTGCGGCGCTGCTGGGCAATTTTATGTTGAATTCTTGCAACCCTTTAATATCAGTTAAAAAAAAATTATAATACTCATAAGCACTGTTTTGAATTGTCTGAAACTTCTTTGTCGAACTTCTTTCCCATTTCCCCCTCAAAGTTCATGACTTGTAGTTGTATGTCCTTCACATGCAAATTTTATACTCCACATTTCGGTAGTGACAATGCGGGTAAATAAAAACTGGGAAGACTGATCCCCCGGCCCCCAGTGACGACAATTAATGAATAAACATAACTCGTGACCAGGGATGACTCACAGGTGAAAGGTTATTTACCTCTGTCGTTATTCGTCCACAATTTAAACCCACAATGCATTGCAATTTAACAGTTTTTACTACCGGTAACAAAAATACAACCAAATTGTATACTAAAAACACAAAGTTATTCTCTGAAAACACATTTAAAATAAATCTTAATTTATATTTAACATTTTAATTTGCGGTGAGAAGTTTTTATTTGAGAATTTTTAAATTGGCCAAATCAGAAATACGACTGCGGTAACGTCCGGCGGCCATTTTAGGGTTGGACATACTTGGCATACATTTCTGCCACTTTTTACACACAACAATGGCGAAAAAGACGTACGATTTGCTGTTTAAATTACTACTAATCGGAGACTCCGGTGTCGGGAAGACGTGTATTCTCTTCAGATTTTCAGACGATACATTTAATACAACATTTATATCAACGATAGGTGAGTATTGCGCCATTTCTGTCTTGAACAAAACCGTCTGCTCGTCATGTAAAAATATGTGAAGTCCATTTCTTCATGCCATTTGTTTGTACAGTCATGACAGTATCGTGATAATTGTCAAATAGGTGTGTACTGATTTTTATTCAGTACTAGTAAGTACTATTGGGAAAAAGGTTGTACAAAAATGCACAATTTGTAAAATCGCAAAATATAACTTAGATTATATGTACATTGATCAAGACTTCAAGAAGTGCAGAATTTATTCCCTGTTTTTATTGGACAAACATGACAAATGTTGGACTTGACTGGGAAGTTGTTTTTGTTTTTATTTTATTTGGCAGTAGGGCCTAGGCCTATTTTAATTTGAATGTGAACTGGTCTGGTGGTCCCCAATTTTATTTTAGCTCTTTTAAGTTTTACCGGCACAGCACGTGAACCAAACACCGTTGGACAACAGTGCTCCATCATTATCACATTTCATTGGTTGTATTTTTTTTGTTTTGTGTATTTTATAAACACGTAAACAAGATGCCTTTTTAGAGGTGGGGTGTCTTTTTTTAACTATTATCTGGGAGTATTATGTGGGAGTGGGATGAATCTTTATGTGACTGTATCAATGGCAATGCTTTTGGTTCTATGAAATAATAAATGTCGCTTCGATTTGTACGTGTTGTGTTTGACTTTATTTTTAAGACTAGAATTTACTGTAAATCATTAATTTAACATATGCACTTGTGAAGTTGTGGTACCCATACATTGTGCAACTGCAAGCCTTTTGCTTTGCAGACCATGTTTGTGACTTGAACTACATGTGACATGTACATGTACATGTAAATACATTTTTCTTTGTCGATAATCATTAAAAAAATACCCTAACTCATTCATAGTGGTGGGATTAAAATCTGGATTTTTAAAAACCGGTATGAATTCAACCATTCAGTTAGGATTTTGGAAAACGGATACATATATTCGAAATCAACCTTTAACAATAATTAAGTCTTTTATATTTTGTGACACAAGCCAAAGGAAATAACATTGAACATCCCCCATTTTGCTCGACAGTCTCTGCTTGCAACCACATTCACCCATTGGTCTTCTTGGAACATGAATAGCCTGCCAATTTCACTGATCAGAGAATTCCTACTCATGTTTTCAACGTGACAGCTCCGGCATGTCCCGAGTGTTTTTGTAAAGGCCCAGTGGACATTGAATCCCGCAAACCTGTGTGTACATTGTTGTTCCCAATCCATGTGGAGGATGTTGCATACAGCACCTTACTTGTCACTTTTTATTGGCATGACTGTGAGCTTTTGGTAAAATCGGATAAGTACCGTACTTTTCGGAATATAAGCCGCGGCTTATACGTTGAATTTGCCCATGAAAATGTTTACTGCGGCTTATACACAGGGCGGCTTATACGCCGAGACTTGAAGAATAAAAATGACAGTTACATACATGTACTGGTACAAGAAGAGATGTGTTGTTGAAATAATTATCAATTAAGAAAGTCATTAACAAACCGAAAGCACATCCCACAAAAAGATACCGAGCGGTAAAAAGTACGGCTAGTGAAAGCTGTCCCTTGGACATCGACAACCGGCCGTACGTGATGCTGCCTATGCTGCATGCATGCTGCATGGATTCCCCATGGACCACACCATTTGTGGTAATAAACGGGTGCACTTTCTTGGGAACAATAATTACCAATATTTCCCCAGTTTAAAAAAAGGAAAAAGACAACTAATACTTTTTATGGAGTTTGAAACATATCTTTATTTGATAATCAGCTGTTCAACGTCACAATATAATTTTTTTTTCTTGAAATGTATTCAAGAAACGATGTAAAACTCAAAACAGGGGTGAAACCACCCCCACGAAATTAATGGATACGTCCATAAAAATCTTGGCATCGTGTTGACTGTTTTCGAAGAAAGTTACGATCCAAACTTGAAGTTTTGACATTACTACTCGTTAGTAATCACAACAATTAATTTTGATAAGTTTTGCTGTAAAAACGGACTTATTTATCCTGTAGGACAAAACAACTCAGCGTCTGTTGCCACAAAGCAGGATTTGTAGCGCTCCAGTCAGACAACACATGGTGGGTTGCATACTCTCTCAAGTGCTGGGGGAAAGTAATGTCATTCGCCGGCACAGGCTCACTGACGAGCCAGCCGGCAGCAATTCCCGTTTTTTATTTCTCATCATCAATTTCCATATTTGTTTGTAAGAGTAATCGACTGTAAATGATTTGACATAACATTTGTGGCCCTTTTATAGCTTTCGTAGTGCAAATGGAACTGGTTCAGAGCATTTTGACTAGAATTTGGAGGCCTTACAAAATTGAACCACTGTGGTTGGTGCGGCTTATACGCCGATGCGGCTCATACGCCGACCTAAAATCTTAATTTGCAGATTTTTGCGTGCTGCGGCTTATACGCCGCGCGGCTTATATTCCGAAAATTACGGTAACCGTTATTTTGAAATCTCCAATTATTCCCTCTCATTAGTATTTTTCTAACTCACAAATCCACCACTGTACAGATATACATGTACTGTACTTACAAATATGAATGGAAAAATTTAATACATTTCTGTTGCACTCTTTGCATCAATTGGTGATCACAGAGATTTGTAAAAGTATTATTCCTACCCCCTCCCCCCTGTGTGTTTCACTAGG